AGCATGGCTCAGCGTCACAGCTTGCTGAAGGAGGAAGGCTGGAGAAGCACCGTGCCAGGCCATGCTGACTAGGGCCTGTCACTCAAGACGAGGTGATGTGCGGGGACAGAGACGCCGGTGGTGACTGAGGCCTGTGCTCTATGAAGTGCTTTTGCTGCCAACATCCCTAGGTCTTTCCCTTGCTCTTCGGAGCAGGGGATCCTAAAGGAAGCAGGAATATGTGGAGTGGGAATGGTGGTCCAGGTCAAAGGTGTGGGAGCCTCTCCAGATGCTGCATGCATGGGGCTGGGAGGGGGGGAGGAGAGCTCAGGAGCTTGCCAAGTGCTGCGCTGGCCCTCCCTGGCCCATGCCATAGCACTTTGTCTTCAAGGGCTGAACTCAAATTCGGGTCCTGATGTGCACATTTGGGCCACATCTATGAGTCTTGACTCTGCCAGAGCATCCTGAAGACCGGAGCCAGGCTGTGTAAACTCCTAAACCTCCTGGTGGGTGGCAAGGGGTGGGGGCGAGGCGAGCGCAGAGATGAGTATCAAAGGCACAGGGTGAGCGTGCACTGACCACGCATCCACTGGTCTGCGGAGTATGGGGCCAGGCCAGGCACAGGCTTTCCCACCTGCTCACTGAACATGGAGCAGAGCCCTGGCCTCGCATTTCCTGCTGGGAAACGGGGTGCAGCTGCTGGAACTGAGGTCCTTCTCCCTGAACCTCCTACCCTATAGGTGTTCACTGTGGACATGACATGCCTTTCGCAGCTGGCTGGCCTTGCTGTGGCCTTTTGGCCCCAAGCTGCTGGCCACTGTCCTTTGGCCCCAGATCTGCCCCTGCCACCCTTGAGCTGTTGATGGCACAAGGAGATAAGAAACAATGACTGCAGTGCTGTTCATGGAGCCACCCAGCCAGCTGGACTCCCCGGGGGCTGGGGAGGAGTGAGGAGGGCCTAGTCGCACCCTGTGAGCATGGGGTGATTTTTTTACCTGACTCTGCCTGGCTTGGTTTGTGTCCCTAGGCCCCTACAGGAGCTGGCACTGGGAAAGGCACACCTCTCCCTGTGGGCCTGCACCATCAGGTCTACTTCCCTTGACAGAGGCTTAATCCCTCTCCGCTCTCAGCACCTGGGATGAAAGTTCTGGCACAGCTTTCTTCATATCAGAAAAAATGAATAGTAGAGACTGCGATGTATAATTTTGCCCAGAGATGGCTGTAGGTGTACGAGAGCCCTGCCCCTGCTGTGAACACCAGAGCAAGCAATCCTAACTGGGCCCCAGCAGTCATGCAAGCCTGCTGGGGCAGCTGGCATCCGGAATAGGGCGCGGGAGGGACCTGCTCAGCTGGTTGTGAACTGTCCAGGGCCACCTGCTGGGCAGTGTTCTAGACACACCCATCATGCTGTGTGCATGTGCGTGTGCACGCATGTGTGTGTTGCAGCAGGCTCATCTGTCTCCACCTTGCTCCACATATGACAGTCCCCATAAGAAACTTATTTTTTTCCCTTTACTGTAAGAGGCTTGAGCCATTCTCCCTTCCTAAATTTTTAAAAATCAAAGAACACATTCATTCTTTTGAGATTCACTCAGGAAACCTGAACAGACCCCTACTACCTGAATTATGGATAACACCTCCAACGCACACTCACGTGGGTCTCTGTTGTGTTGATTTCTATTTTTAGGGATTTGTCAAAAGTCTTTTCTGGCTCACACTGTTGAAGCCACCAAACCCCTCAATGGGATCTGGGGAAATGTTTGAGAGGCTCCTCAGCTTTTTAATGTCAGGGGCCAAGAACACGGGTCACGCGGACACTGCCATTTTCTGAACATGTGTCCCGAGAAGACCCAGGGCTCGTTATGCAGGCCAGGTTGCAGATGGCTCCATCTTCCGCTACTTCCAGTCACCACGACCCCTCCTCTCAGCCCCCTGCCTTCTCCACTGCACAAACAGGAAGCACACCCTGTCCTGGGCAGGGGCAGATGGAGTCCAAGAGGTGCCTGTCATGCTTGGCCACCTGCTGAACTAAACTTTCACTTCTGCATTCGTATTTACCATCCAGCAGAGTACGTACGGGCTGGCAAACTTTTTCCCTTCCTGGATCTCCTCCCCGGCCTTGAGAAAAGTGTTCTTGACAAAGAAAGGCTTTGGTGTCGTGTCTCCAGGGCTGCTGTGAACACAGCGGGGAGGTCGGAGAGATCCACGTTAAGCCTGCCTGGTGACTGAGGACAGGTGCACTGCTTGGGGCTCCCGAGGGGCTGTGGGGACAGAAGGGAGCTGGGGGGTGAGACAGCCGCTGCCCCCAGCTTGCTCCTGGCTCAGCAGTAAAGAAGCTGGCCTCAGACCTCCTTTGGCACTTGAGCTCAGCTGTGCCTCACTTCCCCCAATAGCCTCCTTTTGTTTCTTGGGTTGTACTTCTGGAGTCAAACCTGAGTAACGTGAGGCCCACCTGGAGAGTCGGTTTAGCTTAGCTGTTGGATCAGAATGGTTTTGATCAGAGGGACTGGAGCCCAGACATCTTTTTTTATTTTGTTTTTTTGGTACTGGGGATCGAACTTAGGACCTTGCACTTTCGAGGCAGGCGGAGGCACCACTGAGCTAAATCCACCCCCCACCCCCGACATCCTTTTAATAAGCAACCTGGGAATGGCCCAGGGACACCACTTTGAGCAACACCATTATGGGGCTCCCGAGCAATCTTCCCAGGCCTCCAATAAGTGTCCAAAGCTCAGAGACGCCAGTGCCCAGTGGGGAGAGGGAATCTGACTACTGTACCCTCAGCCTTGTCTGTTGGTCCAGTCCTGGGCCATCTCACTGTCTTTAGTGACCGAGCACTGTAAAGATGGGGCAGAAGTGGGATGCATCTGGTTGTCCAAGAAATGAACCCTCAGGCAGGGGATGTAGCTCAGTGGTGCAGCACTTGCCCACCATGTACAAGGCCCTGGGTTCAATACCCAGCCCCACAAAAACAAAAACCCCAAGGAACTCAACCCATGAATGCTCTGGGGCAGGGGCCTACAAGCTCGACTTTCCATCTTGCAGTCAGTTCTCATCATGTTTTGTGTAGAAGACAGTTGGCACCTCAGTGCGCATTGGTTCCAAGGTCAGGCACATTATCAGCATTATCTCATTTAGTCCACAAGATCCACCTCAGGTGGCTAGTACTACAGTCCTTGATTTTTTTTTTTTTTTTGGTACCGGGGATCAAACTTGGGTGCTTGTGCTTGCAAGGCAAGTGGCGGAACCACTGAGCTACATCTCCAGCCCCATAGTCCTTGTTTTATAGATGAGGACACTGAGGCTGAGAATGTAGTAGTCACTGAGTAACAGAGACCAGATTTGGAACCCAAGCAGGCCGCCTGCAGAGCCCAAGCATAAAGCACACATGGTACGGTTAGAAACAGAATTCTGCTTCTTCAACCCTAGTTCAGGGCTCTCATCTCCTACCATCTAGTCAGCCTTACTTTTTAAACCTGTCCCAGGTAAGATGACAGCTCTGTGCCCAGTTCCTTCTTTACTGAAGCTAGAGCTGTTTTGATGGTATGAGCAACTTTAAAAACTGGGCTATGGGCTGGGGATATAGCTCAGTGGCACAGCGCCTGCATGGAAGGCGCAAGGTCCTGAGTTCAATCCCCGGTAAAAAAAACAAACTGGGCCATCTTAAATACTTGGGCAGCTGCAGAAGTAGGACCATACTAAGCTCACCGTTGCACAACAGTGGTAGTTTTTGACTCCTCAGTGAAGCCACCTGCTGCAAGGACCAATCAAATCAACAGGATACCTAGCTGTCTGTCTAGAAAGCAATGACAAAAACAAACAAGATTAACATCACTCAAAGCGGGTATGCCTGCTCAGAAGCCTGTCCTGGGGCTGCCTTACACCACTTAAGATGCCAGAAGGGGTTTGGCAGCAACTGACCTTAGTGTTCAGCTGAGCACCCTGCAGCCCCTCAGGGGCTCTTGCCTGGGTTTCCGGTCCACACTCCACCAGCCTCCTCCACTTGCCAGAGTCCACTCAGAACACCAAGCAGGTGGCTCAGCATTTCCCAGGGGAACGAGCTAACCACTGTATCCTTTTCTTCCACTTGTTTATGGGCACCAGGGAGGCCTAAATTTGGCAGGGAGCCAAGGACTGCCTCTTGGGGCATCCTATCCCTTGTGGCTTGACGGTCCCTGCCTACTGGGTGTAATACCCATCCTGGCCCTAACTGTGTGTGATGAGTTTAAGGCCAGGTACATGGAGAGCCAGCAACAAAGAGGCAGAGAGCATGCTGACCTGGAGGGCTCCTCGACTTCTCCTGCAATCTCCTTCCTCAGGCTTGAATATATGGGATCGTTGCTTTCCTAATGTAATCACCATTTCTGGGGCTTGATCCCATCCTCTTGTGGAAATATGACCCATCCATCAACTCGAATTAGCATGTACTATAGATTGGGCATCCACTGGATCAAAGCCCAACATTCTCCACCATTCTGAATCAGAACTTACCTGACTTCACTTCCTCCTTTGGTCTAGGAATAGTAGTGTTTCCTGTCAGCCAGACCAGAAAACCAAAACTGAGCTGTATTCTAGCATTAAGTCTGTTTCCTTTCAAGATCAAACTCTTTCAGGCTGCTGTTGGGTCCACAAGCTGAGCTAGGCTTATGCTGTTACAGCCTTCTTGACTTCTAGCCCTTGGCAGCTCTGCTATGTCCTCTACTAACTGAACTCTCCACATTGTGCACTCAATTGCCAGGAGAACCCAAACCATGACGCTGGGGCACTGATTTCCCCAAGGCTCGTTTGTTTTGCAGGAACTGGATCTAGAAATGTAACTCTACCTTGCAAGAACGCTAAGTCTCTTCCCACTGAAGAAACTTCCACCATCCATTTATCCACTTCTCTCAGGCTGAGCTAGGCCCTCAAAACAAAGGAGGAGCAGCTCTGATTATGGCCGGGGAAGAACCCTCCACTCCTCTCAGAGTGCTCTTCTGCAGCCATCTTGACCTTTGCAGGGGCAAGAAGACACCACCACCAAAAAGGATAAAATAAGTTTTTATTTATAGTCTTATAGTAAAGGGGGAAGCCTTAACTTGCAAGACAATTATTCAGCAGTATGTACAACATACTTTTTATTTCCATGGAATGGAATCAAACACAGACGGAGACTACAGAGTATACACTAGAAATCAGCAAATGCCAGGAACGGAGTAGGAAAAAGACAAAGAAATGAGGCCTTAAACACACGATACCCCTTCGCTGGGATCTGCTGACCGCAGCTAGAACCAGGGCGGGATCACACGATGGAGACAGGGTCCAGGATAGGAGAAGGAAAGTGGGGTGAGGGCTGGGGAGGGGCCACACTGGGGTGTGGGCTTAGTACCAGGTAAACTGCTCTTGGTATTTACATTACAAAATCAGTTGGCTCTATTTCTTAGAAATACACACGGAAAGAAAAGCACGATTTGATCATCACTTTATGAATCTGTCGCTTTGCTATTCTGACATTATCAGAAACAGGGATACTCACTCAGATTCAAATTTCAGTAGCAGGAAATAAATATCAAAACATCATCACTGGCCTCCGTACAAAGCCGCTACCCCACGCAGTGCTCCCTACTCCCACCCCTCGCCGCCGCCCCACCACTCCTCGGTGGCCTCCGCTCGTCCACACTGAGGGTCACGTGGTCCTCTGCAAAGCCGTCCCTACTTTCCTTTGTACCTCACACTTCTTCGAGGACCCATCTCTCAACAGGGGCGATAGATAGCTTTTTAGAGATAAATCCTTCCAAAGGAGAGGGGGAATTCTGATTACTCCAAACCAGTCGCCTTCTTGAAGTAAAGCAGTTCACAGATTCACAGTCTGTCAAGGAGAGGTGGACCCGGAGAGGCCCCAGGGCAGGGTCCTCCAGGCACGTGCCCGGCGGGCTGGAGGAGCTGGTGGGCAGGCAGGGCGCCGTGCGCTTGGAGGTCCGGCCGGCCTTCTGTCCTCCACAGAAAAAGCTGCCAAGTTGGGGTGTTTTGGTTTAAAAATTCCTGGTGAGGGCAGGGAATCCCTGAAGGGAATACATTTAAAAATATAGTGAAAACGGGGAAGAACAAGAGCTGTTGTCCAAGAGCGCCTACATAAAAATAAAAATTAAAAAAAGAAAGAAAAAATAAAGAGTCTCTTATAAGGTTCCAAGGGTTCTAACGAACTGAGAGGAGACGACGAAGAGACAGTTCTTATTGCTGGCCTGCCCCACGCAGCTTAGCTGGCCTCCATCCGGAGTTTCTTCCTGCTCTGGGGCTCTTCCGGCTCCGACTCCGAGCTGGAGTCTGAGCCCCCATCGAAGGCAGAGATGGTGCTGCCCTTGGCGTTGGTGTAGAGGCTGCTGTCTGAGGAGGGGTAGTTGGTCTGTAGTTGGGCACTCGACCTCGCTTTCTCCAGTGCACGGACTGAAAGGCAACCAAGGGAGCACGTTACTACCGACTGGGAACCCATCGCGGCTCAGGGTCCAGCCTGTGCTTCCCAAGGGCTTGCGTGACGGCCCCCACGGCTCAGGCGGCTCAGGAGTAACTCCCTTCTGGTGGCTGCACACTTCATTTCCCTCCCTCCTCTCCCAGCTGGACCTGGGGGCCAGCAGACATCACCTGTCACTCTGTTACACCACCTAACCCTGAAGAGAAGGCTGTGATGTCACCATCTTGCCACGGAAGCCCAGCATGTGTAGAGTCCCGAGCACGAGCTCCCTGTGGAATTCAGCAGTGCAGTGACAGAGAAGTGGCCAGGCAATGCTAGGCTCCACAGGGTGTGAAGGCCACACAATAGCAGGAGAAGATGACACAAGATTGGAGCGGCCAAGGAAAATGTTTGGCTTAGCTTTCAGGTACAAGATCCACTTGGAATGGCAAGCTGGACACTTGGAAGCAAGTCACCAATACACACAAAACTCTTGGGCCTTCTGACAGAGAGCTCTTACATGCAGGCTACTCGGCCTATTCACCAACCCTCTGACGCCACCCACTGCCCAGCCCTTGGTTCAGCTCTGCTCAAGCCTGGAAGGTCAACCCATTCATTTTATTTATTTTATTTGAGGTGTTCTAACCCAGGAGGTTACTTGCATTTCCTTTTACTTGCATCTTCCATGAGGGAGGAAGAGAAGTGAATTCCCCAGGAACAAAGAACTTGATCAGCTCTCGCTTTCCCCTGTGGTTGTAGGAAAAGGCGGGTGTGAGCACTGGAGAACAGCAGGGGCCTGGCCCACAGGCTGCCCTGATTGGACTACCACTGCCAACGGGGAGGGCTCACTGTCCCTGAACTCCCGGAGTCTGGTTCTTACACAGCAAATTCCACTCCCAGGACCTCAAGGCTCTTTTTAGATACCTGATGCCAGGTGTGACGCCTACTGCAGGCAGAGCACCTGAGCCCCAAGAAAAGGAGAGAGCAGGCCAGAAAAGATAGAAGCCTCCATCTGTCCAAGGCCCTGGCCTCACTGTCTCCTCACGGGCGGCTCGGGTCCTTTCTTGGCTCAGCTCTAACACCAACTGTGCAGGCCTGGGATGTGGTGAGGCTGCTGTTCGAGCTTGCTCCAGGAGCGGCTGACTGCAGGGCCAGGTGTGAAGCCTGGGCCCGGCAGGAGAACGGCAGGGCCAGCTGCCCCACAAGCTCAGATGCTCACCTTGCTGCTCCAGAAGAGCATTCTGCCGCTTGAGGTCATCGATGTCTTGCTGGTGTGTGTGGTTTTTCCTTCGCATGTACTGGATATATTCTGTGGCTTTGTCTAGGATTTGAGCCCGGGATGCCTGTTGCAATATGAGAAAAAGCACAGGGGACAAAATAAAGACCGAGTTCCGGCAGTGAGGGAACCATGCCTTTCTGAAGCAACAGCACAGGGGGCTGGCAACAGGAGGGCAAGGTGGGAACAGGCCCAGGAAAGTCACGGCCAGTCACAGCCTTCTTTGTGCCAGACAAAGGGCCACGTGCTTCGCAGAGCTTGCCTCACACACACAGCCTCAGAAGTGCCACCAGGAGCCATGGCTCAGAGAAGTGCACTGGCTCATTCAAAACCACCAGCTACAGTGGCAGAGCCTGGGCTCAGACTTGGGACTGTTTGATTCCCGAACTCGTCCTCCTCCCATCCCCCCTGGTTCTTTAGGTTGTCTGAAAGTCTTCAGCTTGGCTGTGTCTGAAAACATCAAAATACTACTTAAATGAAAGCTCGAGCCAGTCACTCTCTGCTATGGCCTGGCTACAGGCTGCTGGCCCAGAATGACAAGTATGAGATCTTGACTGAGCTGGGTTGGGATGAGAGAGGGCATGGAGTTGTGCATCAATGTCTGCATACTACACCTGTCAAATCTTCCCAACGGAACCGTGCTGCTACATCACTGTTCCGCCTTCCTGGCTAAAGAGGCTTTGCTGAAATCTGCTAGTGCTTGATGTCAACACAGGAAGGGCATGAGATTGAGCCACCTCACAAAAGAACCACACCTCCTCCACAATGGCCACCAGCAGCCTGGGCACTGCCCTGTCAGAGGAACGAGTTAATAAGGCAATAAAATGGATGTCAAGGTATCGTACAACTGGAAGTCAAACTTGTCTGGGAGATTCCCTCCAGACTGTACGCACACCAGGGTTACTTACTGCCAGGTAGCCAGCCAGCCAGCCAAATTGAGAGAATAGTGCAAGGCCAAGAAAAGCTGCAGGCTAAAGTATGGTAAGTATGCCACGGGGGCTCCTGAGCAGCGGGCAAACTTCTTATTCAGAGGAGGGTAGTTCTCGACGGTTTTCTATTACAACTTGGTGGTTTTAACCAGAACACAACATGGTGGTGGTGGTGGTGGGGAGCAGGGAGGCAAAAAAACATCCACACTCAGGCTAGTAAAACTAATCTTTTTTTTTAAATCCTAAAAATTTCAATTCATACATCTTAGGGCAAGCTGGGAACAAGAGAGGCGTGCAAGGCCTGAATTGATTCACCAATCCTTGAAAGTACTAGAATGTCCAAGCTTTCCTCTCATGGTACCTTTTAAGGTAATCTCCTTAAAAAGAAATCATTCATATTCAATCATTTATCAGGTGGGAATCATGTGCAAGGTACTGGGCTGATGTGGTGGGGAAATGTATTAGTCACGGATTCTTTGCCCAGAAGTTTAAATATTATTCATACACTGACAAATCACAGGCAGCATGAACAAGTATAACCTGACCAGCACAGATGATGAAGGCCACGAGAAAGCTGGCTTCTGGCTGGGCAACTCTACAGTGTGCCAGGCACTGGCCTTGGTGCTGCCTCTCACACACACACACACACACACTCTCATGTGAAACCACACACCCTGCCTCAGGCCGGGATGGAGGCTGTGCAGAAAGGTCATGCTAAGCAGGGAAGCAGCACAGTCAAACCATGGGGTGAGGCAGAGACAGCTGCACGTCCGCAGGTGAGTAGGCAGGACTGAGAGGAAGGCAAAGGGCACTTCAGATGTTACTTCCCGTTTCTGCAGGAGGGCTTTTCTAGGGCCTAGTTATTAGGAGATAAAATGAGAGCAAAGGGGCCAGAATTAAGAGGGACAAATGAAAATACTCTGCGTCTCTGGATACTGGAGATGGAATTAAAATTGACCGACAGTGTGGGGTCAGGTGGCAGCCTGGGGACTAAGGAGTGTGCCACATAGTCACTGCTGGGCTCCAGGTGGGCAGACACATTCCTCTCAGTGTCTGCTCCTTATCTGATGAAATTCTGAGGCTCCACCTAGCCCTCTACACTTTACCCTCTCTCCATCACTGATACAATTACTATGCATAGTTACACCCTGATTTCTCTTTAAACTTGCTTATTTCAGAGTTTTTTTCTTGACTAATAGTTTCCTGAAGGCAACATAAGGTCTTATTTAACTACCTGGGTGCACCTGGGACAAGGGAAGAAAAGCACAATCTCTGAAACCAGAATGCTTGCAGATGCTCAGTGATACCCACTAATGGATAACAGACTGCAGGGTGACTCTCATACATAAAGTCATGCAGTGAAAAGTGAGCAGTGAGCACAGCAAAACAAGACAGAAGAGGGGAAAAGATCCCACGAATACTTCAGGGTAGTTTTTGGATGTTCATGAAATCCACAGGTGCTCTGGCTGGGTGCAGATGTGCACACTTTGGAAGATTTCTCAAACCCAAGTTCAAGACCAGCCCAAATGACACAGTGAGATCGAGTCTCAGATAAGCCAAGCACAGCGGCACACACTTGTAATCCCAGCTACTCTTGAGACTGAGGCAGGAGGATTGGAAATTTGAGGCCAGCCTGGGTAACCTGGTGAGACAGTCTCATAAAAAAGAGAAAGAGAGAAAGAGACAGAAGCTGTAGCTTACTGGTAGAGCCTTTGCCTAGCATATATGAGACCCTAAATTTAAACTCCTGTACTGCAAAAACAAAATTCAGATGCTCAAAACAGAATGCCTTGGGAACCACAGGTTCTCAATGAAGGCTGGACTGGTTTAAGGCCAGACAGGAGTCCCCCAAAATGCTAAGCACAGTTCTTCCTCCAGGCCCTAATGAAGTACTGCCCTAGGTTGCTTGAGGTGCCCCATCCCCTCAGCAAATTCAAAAGAATGGTTCAGAGTTAACTTTGTTCTTCCCAAGACATGAAACAAGAATTAAAATCCAATGAGAAAAAATTTAAAAGCATGAAATACAGAATGCTCCAAAATCTGCATCTGGTCCAGGAAAGAAAAGCAGAAGGTTGAAGCTAGAAAATGCTACATTAATCTAAAATCTCTTCCTCTCATCTTTCCAAACCACACAGGTTCAGGTGACCAGTCACAGTGACAAGGTGTGGGCAGGCCCCTCCTTGCCTTTATGAGTTTATATGTGTGCAGTAAACACGAAGCCAGCAAGAAACCCTGGGATTTACAGCATGGACTATGAGGCGGCCCCGGGCTTTTGTTTTGTTTTTCTCAATCAGAAGAGTCAGGGCTGGGGATTTAGCTCAGTGGTTCCACCACCTGCCTCACAAGAGCAAGGTCCTGAGTTTAATCCCCCATACCAAAAAAAAAAAAAAAGTCAACTGACAATATTCACATTTGTGTGCTGATCAGACAGGGTACTCAGTAGGGACCAAAATGATTTTGTCCTGCTCATTTTTACAGTTAGAAGGCACTGATTCTGATTCTGTCTGAGCAGAGTGGCTCTGTGGGACAGTGTGGACACAGCCCTGGGACAGAATGGACAGTGGCTGAAGGGACTAAGGACAGAAGCTAGGACTGTAAGCTGGGATTCTTCCAATGCAGTGAGAGGCAAGCTGCTCTTTCAAGTCTGGGAGGCACACAAAAGGCTGCTGGGCATCCTTGCCAAATCTTGTTCCAAATCTATGCTTGGATATAGCAACCGAAATGAAGAAGTCGGGTGTTGCTATGCATACCTGTAATCCCAGCTATTCAGGAGGCCTAGGCAGGAAGATCACAAGTTCAAGTTCCGACTCAACAATTTAGTGAGACCCTATCTCAAAAATTTTCAAAACCATAAAGAAGGGCTGAGGATATAGCTCAGTGGTTGTGTGCTATGTGTGAAGTCTTGGGTTTAATCCCCAGTACCACAGGGGGGAAAAAACAAGATACAATAGTGGCAGTAACTAAGACTTCATTGAGTACTTACTAAAGGCCACACATCCTCGTACAACCTTCCCGGTATTATTTTCTCTATTTTAAAAATGAGAAAACTGAGGCTCAGAGCTATAACTAACTCAGTGTTTTGTGACTAGTGAAAGTAGAGTAGAATTTGAACCCAGACCTCCAGGATACCCATATTTTGGGAACATAAGGTGGCTATAGAACCAATATAAAAAGATCAACAGAAGGGATCATAATCATCCACAGTGGTGAACCATGATGGAATTTTATTAAACTATGACATTTGTCAAAATCAAACACCAAATCAACAGAATTGCAGGGACAGTGTTGTCATGGAGGGGAAAGTGTGAGGAGGAAAAGGACTCGAGAAAGTCAAAGATTTATTTGCCTTGAATGGTGTCAATGAAAACATTAGTGTAGAGCTTTCCTTGGAGGAATGAGAGAGGAGCCCATGGTAAACTTGCTCCCCAGGTGTAGGATGAGCCCACAGTAAAGCAATGTCACAGACTGGCTTTAGAATCTGGCTGAAAAGAAGTAAAAACAGGAGCTTGTAATAATAACAGCACTAAAGGAAGATTGTTTTTCCTTCTTTTTCCTTGTAAAGACCAGTGAGAACCAAACAGGCTCCTAGCAAAGAAAACAGGTGGAGAGGAAAAGCCTGAAGATGCTCGATAATCAGAGGACTGACCCAACCTGGGGGTGAGAAAGGAAACATCGGCCCCCACAGTACTGCCAGCTTTGTGGCCTCTTGGCAGCCAGGAGAGCAAAAACAAATCTTTAGTGGAGACTCAGGGTGCAGCAGTGGGGCCTGCAGGTCCCTGCCCCTTCACCCGGTAATGGCTGTTTAGACTGGGTTGGCCCACCCTCTGGAAGCCCCATTTTCTCAGCACACAGCTTCAAACTGCCCAGAGTCAGAGCAAGAATTTTACAAAAGGCCCCAACTTGACAGAGTTCAATTCTAATTAGAAATTTTTTTTTGAGACAAGCCCTCGCTATGTAGCCCAGGCTGGCTTCAAACTTGCAGCAATCCTCCTGCCTCAGCCTCCCGAGTGCTGGGATTACACCACTATACCTTGCCTAATTAGAAACTTTTAAAACCCCAAATCATGACTGAAGTCATTAACACTAATGCTTAGGATCAAGTCCAAGGTTATTAAGTTCTACACTTAAGGCAGTGGTTCTCAGA